TCGGGGTTGGTGATGTTGTTATGTCTTGCGAGTTCCTCGTACGAACAGTGCGAGAAGCGGTCGGCGATGGCGCGGAGTGTGTCGCCTTGTTGAACAGTGTATGTAGAGCCGCCGTGGCCGCCGCCGGAAGACCAGCGTAAGCTACCATTGTCGTTCTCGATGTATTTGTTCAGACTGATGGTGCTAGATTGGTAAGAGCCATCTGTGCGACGGCACTGAGCGTGCAGATTATAGTCACCGTGAGTATCGAGACGAACTTCATTAGACGAAGTAGTGAAGTTTCCACCAAAGTCACCTCGAGCACGCTCATCACCTCGAGAACGTTCCTTGCCCCGGGAACTACAACTGCTGCTGCGGCGGCGGTGATGTTGAGGTGGGGGACCGCCGTGCTGCTGATTGTATTTCTCGCGCTTCTGTCGCTCCTCTTGTTCTTTCTCCCACTTCTTCTTCTCGTCGTGCTCGTCCTTCCAGTCACCTACTGCGTCTTGTGTCTTGTGTCCTGCAAAGGCACCGGTTAAGGCGCCGATGATAGTGCCTGCAGCCCCATGACCTGCTTGTCCACCTAGCTTGTGTCCACCATAAGCACCGGCTGCACCACCGGCAATACCACCCATGATACCACGGTCACCCTCTGGGTCACCCTCACCGCCGTACTGGTTCTGGAAGCCCTGGTTGTGCGAGTTGCGTCCTGAGTTGGAAGAGTGCGCTGCTGTACTTGGGTACTTGGATTTGTTAGTTTGGACAGCAAACCCCAAGGAATGAACTTACCTGCTGGTATTGAGAAGGATCCTGGCCATAGCCTCCCTGGCCGCCGCCATATGGCTGTTGGCCCATGTGTTGCTGCTGTTGGCCATAGCTATTGTTCTGACCTTGCTGGTAGTATTCACTAGCCTCGCCTTGGGGCTGTTGCTGCTGGCCATATCCTCCTTGCTGGCCGTAACCTTCTTGCTGACCATATCCTCCTTGTTGACCATATCCTCCTCCTTGCTGACCGTATCCTCCTTGATTGTAAGACATATCGATGGTTAAAGAGTGATGAAGGTGTTGATTAGGAATGTATGATTTGCAAAATCGCAGTCTAGCTTTCTCCATAGAGCCATCTCCTTATATAGTCCCCCAGCTCCCCCCTTGTGGGGCTACCCTATGCTGTGCCATCATGCATCATTCATGAGTTGTCTGCAACAAGCCGACACCGCCACGTTCCGCGCAGCCGACTTTGTGGGGTTGTGCTACGGTCCATCGTCACATCAATCCACCTCAGCCACAACATGGGCCAATAGGGCAGACAGTCTGACTCGGGCAGTCTGAGGGCAGTGGAACGCCAAGTCCATACCCAATCGAATGAACTGCCGATATTCCGTTTAACATCCCGGTGAGCCAGTCAGAACTGGGAATTTTGAACTATTTTTACTTCTTCCAGTGCATAGGCTACTCTACTGGTCAGGTGATTAGCCACGATGTTTCAATCATTCTTATTGTGCTAGTCGATGATCAAATGACGCTTTCAAAAGAAGAATTAGGTATCAAAACAACTAGATTGATTGAGTCGAAAAATCAAGTTAGATACGTTGCGAAAACTCTCAACACATTCATTGCGTATACCGTATTCATTTGGTAATTCGGGCTGTACTAAAGTAGGGGTAATAAATTTAAGCTTGAATTAGATTACTTTAGAGAGGGGCAAATCGATTGGAAAATAGGAACATTCAACAGAAATAACCTTGTATTAATGAACAATCCATCGAATGAATGAATCAAACAGGTTGAGTGTTTTCCGTAACTATTCCAGATTCTAGACGAGCCTTATATTTACAATTACCGAGGCCGATTTGGTCGATATGGCCAAAACCCTAAAAATAGATTTCTACCTGAAGCAAAAAAATTCTAAAATTTGTATAGTGTAGCCATAGAAAACTTGGAAAAAATATTTGTATCATACAGAGCGCGATCTCATCGTATATTATTATAAAAACTATATATAATGTATCTTTAATTCTTCGAATAATATAATAGCGATAATAATATTATTGAATTATAATACTTATTTTAATAATAAACCTTACTTTCTATTAATTATATAAAGCTTATATTATTACCTTAATATATATAATCTTATAATAAATAAATATATTTAATATAAATAAATAATTTAATTTATTTACTTTTCAATTAAAAATCTTTTACTTAATTTAAAGAAAATTAATAATATTAAATTATATAATTAATATATTAAAATAATATTTAACTTTATTATAATTAATAATTCTTTTTTCTTTTCACTAATCTTTAATATATTAAATTCAAAATATTTGTAGAATTTATTAAAATTTATATTCTTTGAATTATTAGAAGTTAATAAAAATCAATATATTAATTTCTTTTTAACTTATATAGTATTTTCTATATAATATTTATTAATATTTTATTAATTAAAATATTATTTTATATATATAAATTATTTAAAGTGTTTTGAAAAAAAAGATTTAATATAAGATTTAATATTAATATAATATAAAAAGCTTATTAATATAATAATGAGATTATGTTTTATTCTTTTAAATTATATAATGATTTTAAAGATTTATATATTTATTTACTTTTTCTTTATTAATTTTTAATAATATTAGTAATTAATTATATATAAAAAATTAAAAAAATTAAAAAAATTAGATTAAATATAATGAATCAAGAGAATTTTTCAATTATTTTAATAAAATAAAATAAGAAATAAGAAAATACATTTTTCATTAATATAATAATAAATTTTAAAGCTTTTATTATTAATTCTTAATATATTAATTTCTATTACCTTTTTTAAATTAATAATAATCTTTAATTTTCTTTATATTTTTAATAATTCTATTAAAAAATATAAAATAAGCTTTAATTAAAAAAAGAACTTTCTTTTATTATTTACTTTAAAACCCCTAAATATTATATTATTTTTAAAGTATTATATTAGATATTAATATATAATTAATTCTAAATATTTATATAATAAATTAGGAATATATATTAGTATATATATGAATTTCGATTTTATAAATGCTAATTTATTAATTAATTAATTAAAATTTAATTTAAAAATTTGATATTTTTTATAAATCGATTGAAATTATTTTAAGAATTCATAATTTAAAATATATTAGATAATATATTTTGAAAATAAATATAAAATATTAATATAAATGTATTTTATAATTTTAATTAAAAAAATTATATTATAAGATAAACTTCTTTTTCCTTTAAAAATAAATATATAATAATCTTTTATTATATTCTTGAATATATTATAATTTAATATCATCTTTTAGAATTTTAAATTAATATTAATCTTATTTATATTATTCTTTAAACAAAAACTTTTTATAAAGTTTGAACAATGAATATTTATTTTTAATATATTTTATAAATATATTGTAATTATTAATTTTAAAAGCTTTTCTTTAATTATTATATAATAAAATAAAATATATAATAATTTTATTTTTAAATATAAAATTATTATAATTAATTTTAAACTTTTAATTGAATCTTTAAATATTAAAGTATTTAATAATAATTCTAATTTTAATCTTAATAATGGATTTAAAAAATATTATTTAATATTATATTATTTACAAATTAATTCTTTATATTAAGATAATAAAATTTAAGATTAAATTATTATAATTATATAAATAAAATTATATTAAAATGAATAAGAAAATATTAAAGAAAGTTGAATATTTATAAAGTTTGAAAAGAAGAAAGAGTATTAAATTACGAAAGCAATTTAGTAATAGATATTAATTTTTATTCCTATACTCCTGAATACTAAATACACTTTTTCATCAGGCAGAAATCTATTTTTGGGGTTTTGGTCATATCGACCAAATCGGCCTCGGTAACAATCCCTGCTTAGCGTAATACAAATTACCAAATAAATACTGTGTCTATGTGTCTTTACCCAGGCGATAATATAGAATACCAGCCACTTCTCTTCAATTCTATAGTCGTATGGATGTGGTGGAGATGTGGCTCAGGGGGGAAATATTTGGAGTAAGTTCGGAAGCGAAGTGATGGATGTCCCTAGATGTATTCCATGGTGTTCTTCGAGAGAGTTCGATGGGGTTGGAACTTGGTTGTACGTCTTGATGGCTTGGTAGAGAAAGATGGCTGTGCTTGCCTCTAGGAGCATGCGATAGATTCGGGGGTAACATGTGAGGAATTTGTGCAACCCGGTACAAAACTTCAGAGATCTATGATGGATGAGAATATTCTCGTTATCATGACCTTCGAAATTGTGACTCCCCTTCTGAAATCTTCTATCGATGTTTATCGGCAAGGTTTCCTTGTGCCTTTTCCTTTCGTAGGTAGGTATCTTGCTTTGTAAAATTTGTTTCAAAATTCGGAAGTCCAGACGGTCAACGTATACCCTCCGATACGGAGTTTTCTGACTGGTTTGCTTGCATATCATTTCGTGATGGTTAAATCCCTGATTGTGATATTACACTGTGCGAAACAAGTAAACTTCGAATGAATATAAATTTCACCCAACAGCAAGATGGTTGGTTCAGTTGGTCTCCAACAGAAACCACGGGGAACAAGCGTTGTTCATTTAGTCCGGGTGACCAGAGAGGTCTTTATTAAGTATTAAAATGATACTTACTGTACTCTGTAAGGTTACTGTCTATAATCCGATGACAACAACCATCTCACAATATGCGGCTCGACAACAGACAAAACATATTAGAATCACCGATTTTTGGTACGAACCCTGAAACCTGGATTCGAATGCATAGATTTGCTGCCTTCCAGTTATCCTCCAAGCTGGATGACAATTCAGAGGGCATCAAATCGAAAATTGCGGATGGTTCATGATTCCTCGACAGCCTCGCTCAGACAACACGCAAGTTTCTCTATCCGAAATACAATTCATCTCATAGAACAATCCAAACTTTCAACACACTTGCAAGCAACTCAACAAAGAGAGCAACGGCCAATATCACAAAAACGAGATGCCTCGCCAAACTAAAAAAGGCACGTCGGCAAAGGATGTTCCTCTCCCTCAAACCATCTTTTCCCAACCACTCTCAGCCTACAACATCCCACTCATAAAACGCATACTCTCCATATTCTATCAACAAAGCACTTTCAGACAGCGCGAACCACGGATTAGCCTCCTACACAAGCTCGCGCGTGTCGAACTAACTCGAACAAACAAAGAGAGAGATGCTGTAGCTCAACTTCTTCGCCTCGATATACCCATCACTAGAGCTGCTGTGAAAGCAGGACCTCATGAAGAAGACGTAGATGGAGAGCTATCGGGGGTAGAAGAGGGCACGGATTGTGAAGTTTGTTTGCGAACTTTACCCCCAGAAAGCTTTCCCCAGCAGCATATCGTAAACAAATGCGAACACAAGACACATATGTGTACGTCGTGTCTCGAACAAGCTGTTGTGGCGAGCGTAGAGAGCAACCCTTGGGACAATATACCTTGTCCATACTCCAGTTGTGAAAGGATGTTGGAATCGAGTATCATGAGGAAGTATCTCAAAGGGCAGCTACTTGAGAAGTATAAACCTTCAAAATGCTGGCCGCTGTTGAAGAAGCTAATTCTCACACCAGTTATAACAACTACATAGAGAAGTTGGAGATCCGCAACCTCCCGAACTTTCGATGGTGTTTAAGTCCCAAATGTGTTTCTGGTCAGGTCCACAACGAGGGACCGAGATATTTGAGAGTTATCTGTCATGCTTGTCAATCCGAGAGCTGCTTCCTTCATCAAATTCCACGAGGTGAAGGAAAGAAGTGCACGGCCTGCGATAATGCTGTTTCTCAAGATGAGGGGCGTGCAAAAGCACTTAGGATTACGAAACCGTGTCCAAGATGCGAAGTACTGACTATCATGGATCCAATAAGATGTGGCAGGGCAGTATGTAAGTACCAAACCATCTCTAATCTTGTGATGTGCATTTTGCGTGTACTAACACTTATACTCTTTAGGCCGCTGTAAATACTACTGGAAAAATTTTAGTGCAGGTTGGTGAGATTGGTTTATTGCTCTTCAGTCCCACCTCTTTATGGCTGGAAATGAGTAGGAAATGTGATGTCCCACCTGCTCTTAGTTTTTTTAATTCTTCAGTACCTGTGCAGCAATAAATTGGCTTGAAATTCGAAGTATCATGGCTAGCTATAAATGAAAAGGAAACATTCACCTTGAATATGTGTTGTACAAGACAAGTGACATAGATTTGACTGGCCCCAATGTCCAGATGCGCATGCATGGATTCATCCAATCGGCTTTGGTAGCACTAAAAATCGCTTGAACCCTTCCCGGGAGACTAACCTTTAGCTTGAAGATCTAGTGCCGAAGTACGCTAAGATCGATCAACGGCTAATCCTTGGCTTCTCCAGAGTGATTATCAACAATGACGCCTAGGATATGGACTTGTTTGGAATGGACCCTTAGGTCTTGATGAGCTAATAGTCTGCTGGCAATTGCCCCGAGCTCTTCCCAACACTTTCCTTCTTTTCACAACAGATCCGTAACTGAGCTTCATATTGGCATACTTTAAACCAAAATAAAGTCATAGAAAATGTCTGGCCTCCTCGATACAACTCGCAACTTTTCTCTATACAGTGTAAGAATAACAGCCCCGAGTCGACCAATGGCAGTTTCTCACATCTTTACAGGTCCCCGCAGCATGGCTCCTGGCTCACTTGCCTCATGTGTACGCTGTCATTTCGTCTAAATGCTTTGATAACCGCTCCCCTAGAGACTTCAAAAAGAGTCTCGAAGATGATCAAACGCTCGATAAGGCTGCACGTTTCCCTAGCCCATACTTCTCCTTCATTGAATTGAAAACTAACATTTTCCCAGAAAAAGAACAAAATTCGACGAGCCCACGCTGCCGGGGCCAATGGCTACGAAAGTATCGGGTTTTTCGCTTCTGCAGTGGTAGCTGGAAATGTCGCGGGACTTTCCCATTCAACATTGAACACCCTTACTGGAGGATATTTGATCAGTCGCGCGGTTTACAACTTCATTTATATAAATAATGAGACTCAAGGGGCAGCAGGAGCAAGAAGTTTGGCGTGGCTTTTCGGAATTGGACAGATTGTCACACTGTTCATCAAAAGCGGGAATGCCTTGACAAATAAGGCGGCAAATTTGTTGTAGCTGGGTGCGGAAACGTATGAATCACATGGATCTGCGAAGTTCTGAATGACTCGTCCATAGCGAACTGTACATACTGTGACAATGAAAGTAATCATTGAAAGTCGTCTCAAAACCATTCGATAGCTTTGATTGAGCCTGTCCCGGAATCGGGTGAGGACTTTCGGACATTTCATCATCTCTGTTTGAAGGATGAGATACTCTGGGTTAAAGTAAGAAGCATGAAGTGATTCTTCTGAATACCACTTCGCCCAAGCAATAACAAACAAGTGGTCATCGTCCAGGTTTCTAAGCATAGCTTACTTTGGCCTCGGACTCAAGATCTTAGATAGGACTATTGTTGATTACTCAAGAGGGTCAAGTAACCTCTTAAAAGCACCACAATCGCGTGATGATCTCAACCAGATTGTTAGAGCCAATATAGCAACAAGGGAACACATCACCATCTCTCACCAATCATGTGCTTACTCATGAATATTCCAAACCCATCCATGTTCTCCATTTGGATATTAAAAGAACACATTCTTGAATTTTCTCGTCTGAAAGAATTTATTGGCCAAACTAAAGCTGATCTATCAGCAAGTATTAGCAACAAGGATCTCCACCGAAAAATTGGCTTGCTTCGTTGTCTTGGAAGGTGTATTCTTTCGTGCCGCAACAGAAAGTCAGGATATATGCTTCAAGCTTTTAGTAATTGATACAGGACAGAGGAAAGGGAGTTTGATCCAAGTCGCAGGCAATGGGTCGGTGATCGTGAAAGAGATGGTATGATTCGTGAATTAGATGGAGTGAGTACACTTGGTATTAATCAGATGCAGGAAGAGATGGAGGTAGCTAGAATAAACGAGGATATGTAATCATTACATAGTAATTCGCGGAGAAGTTCAGCAACCATCACGTGGTCTGACTAGCTAACCTATCTTGCCGAGCTTGCCTGCGGTCGTCATGAATCATTAGACGTGGATATACTTCGTACCATGGTCTAATAAGTTGCTATCGACTACTTGAGAAAAAGGGGTAGAATGTCGAGAATCTAGATGCTTCATCGGCTTCACTAACTTTGAGCCGTTCCAGAATATCGTAGGATTCCTTTGGTTCTCTCGAAATTCGGCGGGTCTTCACCCGCGCCGATGCACCAATCACTGACGTCACTACCTCTTATCGAGCGGGCTTGGATAAGGGAAGTTTTGGAAGTTCACCTGCTATATATATATTGTAGTAGTTCAAGATGATTCCCTCAAGATTACACAAGTACATCAAAGAATGGCCATGTCTAACAACACCATACCAACAGTCGAGGGGGGCAAGAGGATAGTAAGTTGCCAATATTCATGTCGCTAAACCGTTGATTGACGCTGTATAGGTTTTTACAGGAGGTAGTGGCAAAGCAGGGCGCCATGTTATCCCATATCTACTCTCCAAAAGACACAAGGTCTTGAATCTTGACCTCATTCCATTTCCCGATCCATCTGTTGATGTATATACACTCAAAACGGACCTCACAGATTCAGGTCAAGTTTTCAATGCCCTCACATCTCATTTTAACATGTCCGGATACTATGAAGGACTAGTGCCTGGTCCTCCAGATGTGGTTATACATTTTGCTGGTACAATCTTCCGTTCTTCCTCATCGTGTGTACAATGCTAACTAGCACCAGCCTATGCCCGAAATATGCTTGTACCTGATAGCGAACTCTTTCAAGCCAACACTCGCAGTACATACAACATAATTGAAGCAGCCAGCAAACTTGGTGTGAAGAAGGTCATAATAGCTAGCTCCGAAACCGTGTATGGAGTATGTTTCGCACAAGGAGATACTGATTATCATTCCTTTCCTCTAGAAGAAGATTATGATGTTGAGCCCGAAGATTCTTACGCTTTATCTAAAATCTGTGGCGAGAAGACCGCTCGTACATTTGCGAAACGGTTTAAGTCAGATATCTACGCGTTAAGAATCGGAAATGTTATTGAACCACATGAATATGAAAGAGATTTTCCAGGGTTTATGGAAGATCCTATGTGTAGGAAACGAAATGCTTGGAGTTATATCGATGCAAGAGATTTGGGTCAAATTTGTGACTTGGCGATACAAAAGAATGATCTAGGCTTTCAAGTCTTTAATGCTACAAATGACGGCATCACCATACCTGGGCAAGAGACGACAGAAGACTTTTTGAAGAGAGTTTGTCCAGGAACGAAGGCTACAAGAAATTTGGGAGAGAGGGAAGCACCGTTGAGCAATAGAAAGATTAGAGAAGTATTGGGATTCAAGGAACTCCATGATTGGCGCAGCTATGTCAATTCAGAGTAGGGAGAAGTTTTACTTTGAGGTGATAAAATAAAGGAATCAACTTGGCTTTGGAAGCCTCTTCACATAGCACTATTTACCATCCCAAACTCTCATGCCGTATGCAAAGGCGCAGCTATATTCAGTAGTGAGCATACCTCAAAATGATACCAGAAGTTCTCAGTATCTGTTTACATGGTTTGATTTGAAGTCTGATGCTGTCATTAAATGCCCGGCCCACAACCTTGGTTCTAATTCCCCATATTTCCTTGCCACATTCCCACCCCACTCTGGTACCACAGCTCCCACCTTCGCACCCTTCTACTATATACCCTGCACCCTGAAACTCTCGCCCCCGCCCTGACAGATTGTTACAATATATACTCAAAATTCAGCCACCTCCTAACAATAACACAACATCTTTGATGGTCTAACGGTCATGATTTCCGCTTGTCAATAATATTACAAGTCGCGGGAGACCGGGGTTCGACTCCCCGTCAGAGAGTTCAGTCATATAGAATTCAATGAATCTCATGTTCATTTACTCTTTTGGTGACATTTTGCGATTTTCGTGGTGTTGCGAAATTTTATTTCATCAAATTTTTAGCCGAGGCGATAATTTTCGGGTGGTGCGGGAGGCGAGGGAGGGTTATTGGGGTGTGGAACTTTTTTTCTTTCGAGTGGGGTTTCTTGCTGAAAGAGAAAGCGGCGATTGGGATGAGAACTTTCTGATTTTGATTGATCTTGATACTGTCGCGTCTAGTTAGTGCTAGACGGAGGTTGCTAGGAACCATCTAGTGAAGCGAGAAATTCCATCGACATAGCGAAAATTGCTATCCCAAAAGGCTGTTATGGAGGGCCAGTTCATTGTGCTTTACTTGAAAGCCTTTTGTTGATGGCCTGAGTTATCAGTCACATTCTGTTTTGAAAATGTCAGATGGACAAGGAATACCATCCATTTTCTCTATGAGTGCCATTCAGCTTTGCTTGTAGCTGGGCTTGTTGACCCTGAGATCATTCTTTCTTGGCTCTCGGCACGGCTGATATATTCGTTCAATTCTTGTGCTTCACCTCCAGTAGCAGTTACAATTGTAGTCGTCCTAGATGCAACTCCACTTAGGAAGTGTGAAGAGCCTTTAGTGTAAGAGTTGTTTTTTCCCCTTCCTGCACCTTTTAACCGATTACTTGGAAGGACCCCGCTTGTAGTGTCTGTTATGATATGTGGTGCGACGACAAGACTGTCGATGATGGATTTGGAGAAGGGTATACAGGACAATATGATGGCGAAAGAAGAGTGTAGGTTTGTTGTTAAAGCCAAGTTAAATGAATCCCACGTATAATTTGTAGAATCAATGGTGTTGTAAAGATAGACTATGCGGAGAATAACAAGGGACAAGGTCCTATTATTGATGAATTTAGTCACATATCTTTTGATAGAGAACATAAACGGGCTAATGTTTACATAAGACAAGTCTTACAAAAGGTTTGGCGAGAATAGAAGTATTGTCAGTCTTTTCTTGGAATCCTCCATTCTCAAGCCATTCAGAATATACACAGGAAGCAGACCAATGAAGACCTGAGTCAACGCATCTACTACCGCGTTGATTGTCCAAAAGGCTCTCTGTGGAACAGCAATTGAGGTTAGAATGTAGAACTCGAAAGACTTGAGGGTATCTTACAACGTTGATACATTGCCCCGGCTCATACACCCAGGGATCTGGAAGCTGGCATTGCAGAGCGATCACAATTATACTGATCAAGTTCCATGTTCCAATCCAGACAATGCTTCTATGAATCAATCGGCGTTTCTTGCTTCCTTCTCTAGTGAGACAAACGAAGAAGTAAAGACTTGATAGCTTGGTGAGAAAGATTGCTGAGATATACATGATATTACCAGTATATTGAGCCTGTGAGTTCTTAGTGCTTGTCGATACTTGGCCTTATCGCGGTTATCTCACTATATAGAAGCAATTTAGCTCACTCTGAAGGACAGTCTCTTGTTTTTGCCCAAGTCCATGAGCAATTTGTTCCGATGTGCATATGCATTGACCGACCGAGGACAACTAATATTACGGATAATTGTAAGTCCAAAACAAGATCACACAGAGACCAGAATGAGAACGCACTGGATCTACATACCATAGCAATGAGACCCAAATAATCATCAATCTGGAGTTTGCGAAGAGTGCCGTATTTGGTAAAGATTTTGGTCGAAGCTATGATAATCATAGGTACCATTACAATCCACATAGCGACATTTAGAAGTGGCCCATGATTATCGGCAGTTACTACCGCCATCTTGCCCAGATAAGTAGCTACTTGTCGGTGTCAGTTTTGGATTGTTGACAGTGGGAGGTTCAAAAGGTTCATGTAATCGACATGCTGTTGAAAAATTACGAGAAACTGAAGACTTGCATTCAAAATATGAATTAGCTTCACTGCGTGAGAATATGATTGCTCCTAGATCCTATGGTCAACATCCATTTCCTTTGGGTCACAGATTCTCATTGCTCAAATAGTTCGAGATAAGAACCAGTATTGTGGAATATTAGTCCGCATGAAATTAGAAGCTGGACTGCAAGGGAATTCAAACGTGTGCTGTGCCTCACTTCGTACTCTTTACCGAATTTGCGAAAGTCAACATCCGATTGGAATTTCAACAACACTTTAGCAATGTAGTTTACAAATCTATAAACACAGGAGGCTTAATAATATCACGCTTTTATTTTCAACACCCGATCGATACACGCATATTAAACATTGACCAATGAGCAAATCGAGATCTAATTTATTTTCTTCTCGTTGTCTCCGGATAGATTAACCCTGTCCGAATACGTGATGCCGAAGTGCTAACTTAACTGTGACATGGATCAATGCTAATCATTCTAATTTCGAAATGCATGGTGTCAATTCCCGTCGATCTGTGTTCTATCGGGGAGGTAGGCTCAACTTGTCCAGGCTCTTGTTGGACCTTGAAGCCACACCTGTTGTGAGCGCTTATCCATCAGAGTGCTTGCGTGCTGTAATGTAATAATGCGGCTCAATATCACATTCTGCATCTGCAGGCGCCTGAAAAGGTACCATTTCTGTCTTCACCACCTCGAACCCAACCTTTCGCAGCAAGTTCCCCCAACCCTTTCTGGTGTAAAGAAGATTTCCAATCCGCTTTCCCATGAATGTATGCTCAATACCTCTTGCACACTCCCCATCCTCGTCAAACATATGTGGCTCTGTTGGAAAGTCCTCAGCTACCATGGTCCCGAGAAAAAGGTAGCCTCCGGGAGCAATCCATCTTGACATCCTTTCAGCCGCTATTTCCATTTCCTCGCGCGAAAAGTGAAACAGTGAGAATATCGCAAAGGCGCCTTGAAATTGAGGTGGAGATTCAGGGGAGAATTCAAGCATGTTGGTCAGCTTGAAAGTTCCCCCAGGGACTTGTCGCTTGCTCAGCTCGATCATGACAGGAGAAAAGTCAATCCCATATAATTTGCGGCCACTGCTCACAACGAGGCTGGATGTTGGGATCCCAGTTCCACTGCCGATATCAAGGACCGTCGTATCAGGGCTCGCAGGAAGACGAGTCAGACTCTCGGTAATGAACGCTATGAGACCTTCATCGTGTCCGAAACTATGCTCGTATCTGATTCCTAAGTTGTCGTAGAAATCGGCTGCTGGGTTGATAGGTGCCATTTTATTGATTGATGATGGATGTTTAAGATAAGTTGAGATCACTTTATTGTCTGGATGATAGAATAAACCCAACTTTTAGTGATCCGGTCTCACAATGTAATATATGGATAAATACTTCCGACATTACAAGCCATGGTCTGCTCTCGGTTACAGCGATGAGACGCTATCATATCCCCTGTTGATGTTGCAGTTAGGCCTCCGCTTTCCCGCAGGGCCGGAACCAGGGACGTTAAATTTGGGCAAGTAGAATGTAACGCATGAAATGCAACTCGCCGTTCTTGTATTTGATAAGTGGGTTAAGCAATCTAGGCTCAATGGTTCGTCTGATTGTACGAATCCATGATGGAACATGGCATGGCTTGTGGAAAAACTGCATCCGTTATTGAGCGATACCCCCCTCTTTGTCTAACTCTGATTTACTTTCTCTTTCTTTGAAGTGACATTTTGTGACACTGTAACGATAATGTCTTCCTACGAGCTTGCTGAAGCTAAGCCTGGTGTTTTGCAAGAAGTCAAAGTCACCACTTCATCCGGAATTACTCTTGACCAAGAAAATGGAGGCATGAACCTGACAGAGCGAGGGAAGTTATCGGAGAAAGACTACGCAAGTAAAGTCCAAGATGAGGCAACTCTGGCTGTATTTGGAAAAAAGCAACAGCTCAAGGTACGATCTCACTCGGCTAAGCGTAATTATAGATCATTGACCACTGAAATTTTAGCGAAGATTTAAATCTTTGTCTTCCGTGGGCTTGACTTGTGGTTTGATGTTGACATGGGAAGTTATTTTATTGTAAGAATCCCAAACAATCCTTTCCCCTCAAAAGTGCTACTTGACTTACCATATAAAGTACTCTTCAATTTGGTTTACAAAATGGCGGCCCTGCCGGATTGATCTATGGATTTCTAGCGGCATGGTCCGGAGCTATGCTTCAAGCATTAGTTATGGCTGAGATGGCATCAATGTGAGTTAAATATTTAGAATCTTGATATAGTTAAGGATATAGTGCTCACCAGATATAGGATTCCGCTCGCTGGTGGCCCTTTCAATTGGGTTGCTATTTTGTCCCCTCCTTGGTGCAAGAAGTTTCTCAGCTACTTGGCAGGATGGCTCACTGTTATTTGTTGGCAAGCCTTTGTTGCAGAAACATGCTATACTGTCGCTTCATTGATCCAAGGCCTCCTAATTCTCAACTATCCAGACTATGATCCGAAATTGTGGCAAGCGACTCTGCTTTTCTATGCCATCGCTCTCTTTGGTGTTTTCATTAACACTTATCTGGGCCGTCTTCTACCGCGTATCGAAGCTATGATGCTTATTTTGTATATTTTGGGATTCATTGGAGTGCTCATTTCCATAGTTTATTTATCGCCTCATACACCCGCCGAAAAGGTCTTTACTACTTTCCAAAATCTGGGTGGATGGGATAGCATGGGTCTTTCCTTTTTTGTTGGATGGATCACATCTGTCAGTTCTTTCGTAGGAAATGATGGAGCTGATCACATTGGTATGCTTGTCGTTTTTCCTATCGAATAAACCTGGACCAGGACCAAGACTGAGGCTAATCACTCATCCTCTATAGCCGAAGAAATCAACCAGGCGTCAAGAGTCATACCTTTCAGCATTTGGTTCTCAACCTTGTTCAATGGCATACTAGGCTTTTCTATGATGGTAGCAGTATTGTTTAGTATTCAAGATATCGTTGCCGCTACTCAATCAAACACTGGGTTCCCTTTCATGGAGATATTTCAGACGGCGTTGGGGTCGACAAAAGGAGCCAACGCACTCGTAAGCATTGATTCATGGCTGAACGCATTGTTCTAACTCGGGCAGACAATCGTGATTACCGGAGTGAACGTTTTTTCCGTCAGCAGTGTCTTGGCCACAGCGTCTCGAACTTTATGGGCCTTTTCAAGAGAGAATGGACTGCCATTCTCTCATCTCCTTGTGAAGGTAAGAAATGCCGCATCTCTAGGCTCTGAATAACTTTAGCTAATATCAAGTATAGGTTGATCCCAAGACCCGACTACCAATCAACGCGATCATAGGAACGCTTATAATCAACGTACTACTAGGACTAATAAGCGTCGGCTCATACACCGCATTCGGAGCATTCTATTCTGTTGTACTGGCAGCGTACCAGTCATCCTTCTTGCTAGCGGCCAGTGTAATGTTGGCAAAAAGATTAAAAACGCCAGCGTCCGAGATGCCATGGGGTCCTTTCCGACTTAAGAAGTTAGGTGTACCCATTACGATTGTGGCTATAATCTACACTATTATCGCACTGTTTTTCTCGTTCTGGCCTGCTTTCTCGACGGTGGACGCGGCAAACATGAATTGGAGTTGTTTAATTTTTGGGGGCGCCGTTATCTTTAGCATGATTTTCTGGCTGGTACATGGTCGGAAAGTCTATGTAGGTCCTATATGGGAGTTTGAGGGTCAGTTCGTTAGAGCCAAATGATGAAACCCAAGAGCGAGTTTAACTACTCATGTCATCATCAACTCAGATTGTTGTTTAGTCTTGTGAGATAATCAGAATTAGAACGAAGAAATCATCTCGGCCCTCTTTTAGGCCTTTATGCCAAAAGAAACCATCACGCACCACTGATCCAGATTTCTATTCGTGACATGATTACTACACTGCCAGCAAATGTGCTCATAGACACAGATTGACATTGGACATTGAAATTAAAATCCCGTGTAGAGAGCCCAACAAAAGACAAGGTTTCAGCCGAGTGTACCTGTCGAACAACACATACGAAAAAACTCAACTGATAGCAACAATGCCCTGGTAAGTCCAAAGAACTTTCCTGGCAAACAATAGGACCCACAACATTGTGCGCTTGTGAACTAGTACCGCGATGTCTCTAGCGTATCTCTAATCTATCACACCCCGGTAAGCTCAGTAACAGGCTATATAACGTACCAACAGGTCGGTACGGTCCGGCCCCTTAGCCAGCATCCCGCATATTTCTGACGATGTTTATTGGTTGAGGCTTGTTAGCTCTCCACTTAAGAGATTTGATTTATTCCTTAATGAGGATGGTAGTATTGAGATTATCTCACATTCTGTGGAACTGCCTGATAGTAGTTGTGAATGCGCGGATTTAACAGTGGTTTGTTGAAATACAGATGATCGACTTCCGTTTTCCCGAGAACTTTCGGGATCCCTAGTAGTTACCTTGCTCAAGATTGTTCTGGTCGTCTGGATTTTGTTCTTGTTCTTGTTCTTGTTCTTGTTCTTGTCAAGTTTTAGGAGATATTTGGGAGTTATAGACTACTAAAGCGTTGGATAGAATTCTAGGACAGCTTAGCAATATGATAAATTACCAAGGACTTCAAATATACCTCATTTATCGATCCTGGATAAGTTTGTCCGATCCGAGCGTAAGTTCTCAACCTTCAATTGCCTTCAACATCATCATTTCTCGTCCCGCATTTCAACGCTTTCTTCGCCACGTTCCCTTCAGGCAATGTGCTCAGATATCATTTGTACCTCTTGGGGATCTTAACGACCTGGTTGAAAAGGGAGAAGCGATAAGATATGACCGACCAGTAACACCAGCTTGCGAGTAGATTATTGCGTTCAAAATCATGAGCTGTACGTTTGTCTGAATATTCGTCTGCTTATACGTCTGCTCCATCTATAACAACTGTAAGAAGAACGGCCCATCATAATTGGGCTTTCACCATCCACCCTCGTAAATGTGACTCTACTATATCGAGATCGGTGCCGATATTGCTACAAGTACGCAACATTATGAGAGCGTTCAGCGAATTTGGCTACGCTTTCTGCGATGCTGTAAATTCAAGTCTGTGTGGGATTTAAATTACCAACCTGATGTACACCTTTTACCCAAGCCAGAAGGTCCTGAATTTGATTATCATCTGAGGTTGCACGAACAATTTTCAAGGTACACAGAATTCAAGCTACGTACCATGTAACGATATCATTTGCCCCTGACAAGGAGGTTTTCTGAACAACCTTAATGCTTCAAAACATTGGTTGGTCGGGGTGGATTCAAAGGTTTATCTAGTTAAATAGGAGGCCTTATTATTCGATATGATAGTTTAAATATGGCTTAAAATCAAGGAATCAGCATAGACCTTCTGAAAATCGAACGACTCGCTCTAGAAGGAACATGGAGCACCATACCAGAGGACTTTGCAATCAGTAAAATACCTTTTTAGCCCCTCTGCGTATATATTAATGCAAGTCTCAATAACAAGAGGCACAAAACCGACCAACCCCCATACGTTCGAATCCGTCTTTCTAGTAGTGAAACAAGCATAAGATTTCATTATCAATCGCAAACTAAATGGTTGCGGGAAAGAAAAACAAAGCTATAACAAATTTGCTGCTAAGCCATATCAACACAAAAGTGTGTTTGATATCTTCCCAAATACTAATGAACATGTATCGATATTTTGCGGGAGCTCTAAGATCTTGGTTCAGGTTGGTGTGCTGTGGTTTCATTCATATTGAGAAGGAATGGATAGCCATCGAGCCTAAAAGCTTCTGTAAATTATATCGAGATTTCAGAACGCATCTCCAAGGCGCTCGACGTGATTGGTGATATGATTGATTCTGGGAAGAGGCAAGTGGAGGGATAACCAAATTAATATACCAGGAGCGCCTTGGCAAGATTGTATAAGGAGGTCTTTTCGTATTTGAAAAATTGTACGGATTAGTAGAGAAAGACAGGCAGAAGTAAGTGTTCTGTGACGTGCAAAGTTCAACAGATTGTTAAATTTTGTTATAGTGAAGGCATATTGATCTTTCAATGGGGATTTCTCTGATCGTTTCGCTAATAGAGTAAAATGTGTCAAGGATGTGGCATAGGTAGTATATCATGAAACCACACTAGGGGTAAATGGAATCTTCAAATGATGATTATTGAAAATCGAGATGAACAAAAATCTTAGACAGAAAGTTTGGAGCAACAACGACAGGCACAATTCGGAGCAGGTATAGCAGAATGGAGAGTATTGCGACAACAGATGCTTGAAGGTGGGGGTATTAATATTATTAGTCCACGTTAGAATTTTCTTGTTTATCCTAAGTGATATCCAACAAGACATGCTTAAAATGTACTAGGAACCATGAATCGGGAGCCCGGTATACGAGCCACTGGGATATTGAAAGGAATCTGCGGCACCAGCAGTTGAGAGCATGAAGATGCGGAGAAATCTGAGTCTATAAGTGATTGAAGAGTGAGTGTATTCCTTAAAGACGAAGGTCTTCTCGAACGAGTTGTGGGAGCAACCCCGCTCGGTCAAAAACGAGAATATACAAGCTCAATAATCTGCTATTCTTTGCAAGAACTGGAAATATTCATCAAAACTTGACGGATCACTTGAATGCTTTACTACACTCGCCTTGAGTAGCCACGCTTGTTGCTATGAGACTTAGAGGATGGCTAGAATGCAATAATTGCACCATCTTATGGATTCAAGGAGAAATCGACCACAAATACCCCTCTAATCTCTTGGCACTTGCTGGCTCTATGACCGGTGCTGCTATATTATCGAAAACGACTCTAGAACATTAGGTAATGCCCTCGAAGCAGACGAGACCGTGTCCAATAATGAGCCAAGACATCAAACTACAGGAATTTCGGGTCAGTATAGAAGTTAGTCTTGCGCTAAGTATCAGAATTATAGAGCAATAGAAGCCTCGATATGTCTTGGAGCAGGTGTCTATATCATCTTGATATATATATGAGCAGGGCGTGGTCATTGACAATACGTTCGTACATAGCCGCATATTGAAAAGTGCAAAATGACCTGACATCACATTCCACCACTCAAAAAACAATGTAGGAAGATGTGCCTGCTTGATCTGCTCAGATCGATTTCGACTGAAGCCGAAATTCTGTAATGCGGAGGGCATTTTCAAGTGTTTGAGACAATAAAGTATATTCTTGTAGTGTCGAATTCCAATGTTGAAATATGTCTCGTCTGATAAAAATGGAGAGTTATAACTAATTGTCTGTGTTGGTAGGTGCAGGGATGGATGAAATCTTCTTTAATCGGCAGATGACAGCCAGAAACTCATCCCAATTTCCCCACACTTTGAATCCCAGGTATGCAACAGACCAAGTTTCTATCTTTACCATGTGCCTTACCTAGTACCTCCAATCTCGTATGTCATCACCTTCTAGTTCTTTCTGGACAAGCCCCTCTTGATTGCGAACCCATCTGCATTTTGTAGCCTCCTATTTAGATACGAGGTACGAAAGATGCTATGAGGTTTTAAGATAACAAGAGAGTTCACACGTACCACTCTAACTGGACACATATTGACGTTTTTAGTCAGACTAGATGATTTGGTTGTAGGTGACTTTTGTGTGATTGACACAGACTTATGGCCTAGAACTGAAGGTAGGCCAGTCATCACTGCACTCAAGCGTGAGTCTGCATAGATATTTGCAGAGTTTGGCTCGAACACACAAGGAACACTCGAGCCAAAATATATGAAAGTAACAGAGTAAAGCTATATAGGATTGCTTCGATTCTTCAAGACAATCTTAGACTAAGCTAGCCGTCAAAACACCAAAACACAATTTCCTGACGATTTTGAAAAAGCTCCACTACAAGCTCAAGAGTGAAATTGAGATAATTCTTATCTATATGCAAAGAACATCCCAAAGATGGTGACAATCGAGAACTTCAAGATCGTCTCGTCACCTGGAAAGAAGAAAAAGAACGAAATACTCGGAATATGTGATACAAGCCGATACATCGCGATGGATCTGGAGTATGGAGAGTGTTTGATTATGCAGACGCGCCGAATAAATAAATAAATTTTATTCAGCAAAGTTCCTTATCAATTATTAAAGGGTGTATTTATCCACACTCCATCATCACTTAACAATAATCCATCCTCTCCAACCATGACCTCCATCAGCAATGTTATTCATCATTCACTAATTCCACCCACCCACACTCAAAAACTCACAATATCACTCACACCCAAGAATTTCGCACCCGCAATTTTCCCTCTCTCACGTGCCTTTTTTTACGCATTCACCGCCTTCCTTTCCGCTCTTCACCGCTTTCAAGACAAGACCAGCAGAATAACAGCCCATCCCATCATCCATATGCAATGCTCTTGACTCATGTGCCCCGCATCACGCCCTTTCCTGCTATCATTCTTGACATTCTTGATATTGATATCCAGCTCTCTGGGTCCTAGATAAAATCCCCAAACCTATTAGATTCTAATCCGATTTTCTGTCTTTCTCATCTTCGATTGGGTATCTTCGATTGGTATCTTCAATTCAGATAACCTATCGATTGTTTTGTTGAGATCACATATATACCACCTGGTAATATAACATTCTAAGATTACAAAAATGGCGAAAGAAGCAATAATTCGTCATGCACGTCGTGAAGGTAAGATTATATCAAAGTCCATACAACTATTCCCTCCTCAAATCCTCAAGTCCTCAAACCCCATCTACCTCTCCCCCCCCTCTCAAAACCCCCAAACTAACCCCCCCTCTCCACCCAGACATCCCCGGAATCCTAACCCTCATCCACGAACTCGCCGCCTACGAGCACGAATCCGCCTCTGTACTCGCAACCCCCTCTTCCCTCTCCAAAACTATTGCTTTCGCCCCTTCTCCCCTCATTTCCGCTGCAAACACTACTCCTTCAACCGGAGACGCTATATCTCCTACTCGACCTGCGCGATGTTTACTTGTGTTTCCTCCCTCTCCCTCTTCTTCATCTTCTCAACCCCCCGAGCCAATAGGCATGGCACTCTATTTCTATAATTACTCAACTTGGCGGGCTTCAGCGGGAATCTATCTCGAGGATTTGTATGTACGGGAAAGCGCGCGGGGAAAGGGATATGGATCGAGATTGTTGAGTATTTTAGCGAAGGAGGTTGTGGATATGGAGGGAGGGAGATTGGAGTGGAGTGTGTTGAAGTGGAATGAACCTAGTATTAAGTTTTATGAGGGGAAGAGTGTGGGTGCTAAGGCGATGGATGGATGGCAGACGATGAGGGTTGATGGGGCGGCATTGGTGAAGCTGGCGGAAAAAGCTAGGTAGTTTCAGAGGAGATAGGAAGTGTTTTTGGAGAAGTCAAGGGGCGTCTTAGTTACTGAGCAATTGTGATCACATGAGAAAAAAATCAGAGACCACCTGTGTGAAAATCACTATACAAGACTTTTCTTCCGCCTTAAATAGCAATGCTAAAGATTGAACAGTAAAAGTGACACCAGCTCTAATATATCAGTTGTTGTGTTTCACGCTTCACTGACTTCCTAATCTTTCTATCCGTAGTTCCTTGAGCTAACCCATCAGCTTGCAACTCGAAGAATTCAGCATCTTTCGATGATGGCTTTGTGATCTCTCCCGCAGCGGATGGTGAGCGTTGTCCTCCCCAAGTTATTGTATATTCTTTAGTATTCTCATCTTGCACCATCTTTGATGAAAGACTCCAGATCATACCGTACAGCCTTCGCATCGCTCGTGTCCTGTTATGTTGTGGCGTATTAGAAGCTTGAGAATCATCTAGGTCAACTTTCGTTGTTTTCTCGTCCCAAACATCCGCGTTAAGTCTGGCTGGTTTGTTATATAGTGAATCCATCTTTTCTCCAGCGGACTTAGCATCTTCATCTTGATTTCGGAGAACGGCAGGCTTTCTTCTCGGGCGTGGAGACTCAATCGATTGTCTTCCTTCTGCCAAATCTTTCAACCTATTCCATTCGTATTCAGGTAATGGTGGTAGAACTCGTTCTAAAAGACTTGCCCACCATGTGCGTTGCATATTTTCCTTCCGTTTTTCTGGAAGTTTACGTCCCCATGCATTCGTTGACGGTATATCTGGTGTAAGTTTCTTAATCCTCCCTCGCATCGATTCCATAGGATTGGTTGCTTGTTGACTCATGAGAAACAACTGTATTTCTTTGTTTTCTCGGCGCTGTCTTTTGGGCACAGCGTTTGCTTGGTCTATCTCAACATCTTTCATCGCATCCAGATTCTTTAAAATTTGACTGTCGATAATTTTGGACAGTTCTGTGTCATCTTGTGGTAATTCATCCTCTCCAGGTCGCAACAATTCAGTGATTAATTCTCTCCTTCTGTGTCCTGCTCGACCATATGTTCTCAATAAAACATGCTGTAAATCTGGTATACTCCCTTCCAGATTTACACGCTCTAGTAAATGTAATTTTGTGGCATTCTTTTTGGATCTTTTCTGCAGTTTCTTCACATCAACTTTAGATCGTAAATAATCGGTTCCCCAATACTTGGGATTGAGTTTTCGAGGATCGGGAGGGTTGAATCGTTTGACGAGAAGATCGTGGACGAAAGATCTTGCTGCAGAATCAGGGAGATAGGTCGCTTCTCTTAGGAGAGCTCGATATTGTTTGCGGAAACGTGGTAGGTATTCCTTTACTTGTAGTGGAAGTGGGTAAACGTTTTTGCTTATGGACGGCATTGAAGCTATTGAAGCTGGGATTTGTCAAAGGCAAGCAGTATTTAACAATGTAAATTGTATTAAACGAATGAATAGAATCAACGAGAAACAGAACACTTCCTGATCCTTTGGGTAGAGTCAAAAGATACCTGGGTAGTTGCCAAATTATTGCATTGAAGGTTGATGAAGAGAAATGTTGTTGTCGCCTTTAAATATAGGCATTCAGTCGCGTTGTTAGGAGGATATGATATTCACCTACAGAGTACAGTATAAATTTTAAATTGAACGAAAGGTCTTAGCATTGAGTGATGGCTCATATGAAGATATTCGTGTCGACAGCGAAGAGCCCTGACAATTGTATATGCGAATGTACGTATAGAGCACGAATATAGTTATTATGCTCGAAGTATATATGTATATTCCCCTTTGCTGAGGTCGTGTCGAGGAGTGCTTACATAATACTCCCCATTACATCTTTATCCACCCAAAAGGTCATTCTAGCTTCGCGAACCGTCACGTCAAAGTCCAATTAAATTTCCATCCATCCCCCCACACCAAATACATTCCATTAATACACCAATTCTCAAAACCACTTTACATCTCCTCGCGCTTGATACACGAAAGACACGTCGACCTCACCCCTGTTTAGATATTGAGTCGCGTCCCCCTATCGTCATTGATCTGAGTATCATTCATTGTAGGTGAATGCGCTCAGTGAACATTGAATTGATAAAACTCCTTGATTCAAGGATCTTACCGTCCTCGGTGACGCGATTGGCATTCGACTAATACACATCGTCGCAACATCTCGATATCTGTCGATATCTCTTATTCTATGGCAGCGACGAGAATTAAATCCAATCCTCTACCTCTTGCGAATACATCCGAATCAAAACAAAATCATCTGCCGCCCGACACACATTCTGCAAACAGTAGCGCCCACGATCGTGGCCAAGATTCGACTCGATTTCGATCCGAAATGTCAATCAGTATGAGCCAAGGGTCACAGCCTGGTGGTTTAATGATGCAACCAGGTGGACCTTTTCGTCAATACGACTCAACCAGTGCCATGAATCGTAGAGATATGGCACCTCAAATCTATTCGGTGGGTTATCTTCGGACTCATTGTGAATTAAGCTGTTACTAATCTTTCACAGGCCGTATATTCCGGTGTCGATGTATATGAAATGGAAGTTAATCGTATAGCGGTCATGCGACGGAGAAAAGATAGTTGGCTTAATGCTACCCAGATATTGAAAGTGGCAGGAATCGAAAAAGGAAAGCGAACAAAGGTCCTCGAGAAAGAAATTTTGATTGGAGATCATGAGAAAGTTCAGGGTGGGTATGGAAAATATCAGGGAACTTGGATTAGATTCGAAAGAGGTGTTGAATTTTGCAAACAGTACGGCGTAGAAGAACTTCTACGGCCACTTTTAAGCTATGACATGGGTCAAGATGGAGGTATTGCAGGACAAGGTGGCATTGATACTCCAACGAAGGAACAAGCAATGGCTGCACAAAGAAAGAGACTTTATAATTCAGGAACCGAAAATCGTAATATTGGACAATCCGGAACATTTTTTAAAAATATTTCGAATCAAGCCTCACTCGCAGTCGCAGCAATTAGCAAAGCCCGATTTGATTCACCTGTCCCCAGGAATCGCAACGGTAGCGCAAGACCTCTTACTTTTAGCAGACAATCATCACAACAAATGAGTCAAGAGACTACATTCCCGAACTCACAACAAAGTATACAAAGCTTTGTTTCTAACGAAGGTTTAACGAATGGAGATTCGGCTTACGCAACTCAATCGCAATTCCAATTCTCGCATACTGGTAGAGAAGATGGTGATTTCCAAGAGCCGCCACGAAAAAGACGAAGAGAATCTCTCGAGCCACTGAATGATAGCCAACAGTCGATGAATGGTGGTTATAATATGTCATTACGAGAGCCGTCTCCAACCGAACCTAATGATTCATTCTTCTATCGTCAAGAGCTAGGCCTATCACAAGAGGAAGAAGCCCCAATGCCGTTACCACCTCTACCAGAAAATCAACACAACGGAAAGAAGGGGCTGACTCTATTGTCACTCTTTCATAATGAGAATTCTTACTTGGGGACGAATGAGCACAATGACCAGGAGGCGTTTCGTACTATGTCCGGTGTAGAACTCGATATTCCTATAGACAAATCAGCCAATACTGCCGTTCATTGGGCCGCTACTCTTGCAAGATTACCTGTTTTACAAAAGCTTATTCAATCCGGCGCAAGCATATACCGAGTTAATCTCAGAGGAGAGACTGCACTGATGAGAGCATGTTGTGTGGCTAACAATTTGGATCAAGGGAGTTTCCCGGACCTTCTCGAATTACTCGGCAACACTATTGGATTCCAGGATAATCGTGGACGAACAGTCCTACATCATATAGCTGTCACATCAGCTGTCAAAGGTCGTAGCCCTGCTAGCAAATATTATCTTGAATCACTTCTCGAATTCGTCGTTAGGAAAGGTCGTTCATTTAATGGTCAATCACAGAACAATGAACCTAATCCTCATGCCATGGATATTGGTCGGTTTATGTCTGAAATGGTAAATGCACAGGATAACTCGGGCGATACTGCTCTCAATATTGCAGCTAGAGTCGGTAACAAAAGTATTATATCCCAGCTCATGGAAGTTGGAGCAGATCCTGAAATTCAAAACAATTCCAAGTTACGGCCATCAGATTTCATTGGTGGCTTGACAAACCCTGGAGATCGTTTAGGTCTTGCAAGTCCTGATAAGAGAGGAAATAAAGCCACGCGTGAAACTAGTGGTGAAATTATTGACTGTAAGTTTCTGTCATTTTACTACCTACCTTTAATCCTTTCTAATATAATTTCAGCAATAAATGCAACACTCCAATCAACATTGGAAGACTTCGGAAAAGAAGTAGAAGCTAAACAAGCTCAAATCGACTCAATTCATGCCAAACTTCGCGAAGCATCTGCAAGCTTAGGAGAAGAACGACGTGCCATGGAAGCAAAACAAGAACGTAATAGACAACGTGAAGAACGTGATCTGAAAATCGCAAATCTCACTCGAGCAGCAGAAGAAGAAAGTATGAAATTACTTCAACTTCAACAACAATTCAATCAACCTACTTCAGATCTGGACCTTGAAATGCATCTTGGTGATGCAGATAAATCTTTGGCGGTTCCACAAATTCCTGCAGATATCAATAATACTCCTACGAGGAATTCGAATCTTAAAGTAGATCATGCGAATAGACAAGCGTTGTTACAACAATTACCTTCTCTGCATATTCTTCAAGCGAGAACTCTGGCTTATAAAGCTAATAATGATAATTTGGAAAGAAGTGTTCAGGAATTGAGAAGTAAAGATACTGGCAGGATAGCAAAGTATAAGAAAATTATTAGTTTATGTACGGGTGTAGATGTTTCGAAGGTGGATAGTGTTATTGAGGGATTAGCGAGAGCGGTAGAGAGTGAAAGTGATGTCGATTTAAATAGGGTTCGAGAGTTTTTGACGAGGGTTGAGGGGGTTTAAAAGGGAGTTTCGATTTCTGGTGGAGCATTCGACAAGAGAGATGAGATCTGGAATAATGTAGAAAGGTGTGGAAAATGTGCATATATAATGGTATTCTGTGGATTCGGTCTAGTCTGCATGGTCGGCGTTTGGGTGGAAGGTTCGGTATACTCATGTGGATATGATTATATGTTGGGGCATTGCATTACTTTGTACATGGATTTTGGGAGGGGAAAGGAGGGTTTTCTTGCATGCAGAAAGACTTGTATCTTCTATCTGTGCTGTGCTATAGATATATGGTAGGAATAGAACGGGACGGGATTAGTAGAAGTTATCACCTATTTAATGGAGATTCTGAGTCTATTGTCTTTCTCTGAGTTGTATTCGGTTTTGATTTTAACGTTATCACTGCAATGTGTGGGCGTAATGTTTGAATGTACAGCGAAGGGGATTTTCATTTCGTGGTGCTTCTTCCCTCAGCCGAACTTCTCATTGGCTCTTTGAGGGAATGGATTCTGCTAAACACCAATATCTAAGTGGGAAAGGTCCATGCAAACCTTCATACATGATTCCAAATTATAAGGAGTCATGTCCCGAAGTGTGATATTCTTAGTGGACTACTTATCAATTGAGGTAGGTGTGTATATCGTTTGACTCACTGCGGTGAGAAAAATATACTCGTTGTAAGAAACTCTCAGATTGTGAGGCCACCAGTCGGTGGGTTTATGGAATAACAGGATCCTTTTGTAATCGAAATTTGTAGGGAATTTATGCTTCGATTGTTTGATATTAGAATCTGTACTTTTGTTATTTAATCTGGGATGATGAGGTTATCTCTCGTTTCGGAGTATTTGAATCTGTATACTGAGAGATTTTGCTGAGTCTCTTTTCGCAGTGTCCTGTTAGTATGTGCAGCCAATAGTGATCTCTATCATTCGGTGCCGCGTTTTTCAGTCTGATTCAAAGGGTTTCTTTGCAAAGATTAAAACTGCTCATATATCCAAATGCGAATCATCGACGAATGAATTAATGACTGTTACGATGTAGACACCTAGAATCATCCGTGTTGCATGCTTTGGAACGACTCATTTGTACAACATTTTTTCTTTCGAGTCATTTTCTTCCATCTTGGTTCGAGGATTTTGCTTTTTAAGGACTCGAAGTCCCCCTAGGTGTGGATTTCTTCTTTTCCACTACCAAGTTTCACAACCTTTTGTTGAGATTACCGAAAAAAAGCAAAGGCAAAAATGGAAAACAAGAACTCAACTCCCTGCAGCAATTTTATACTTGGAGACTGCGGAGCTGCGATTGGTCGTCAGTACAGTAGAATAATGGGATCGAAACGAAACTACAGAGATGATCTAGAAGCAAATATTCCGGGACAAACTGATATAGGCGCTTCTTGTAGAGATTTGAATAATCGTACATCTCGTCCCAAATCTCGCGGTCCTGGTAGTCGTCTTCCTCACCCTCCTATCCCTTCTCAAGCTCAGATTTATCATCGCTCATACCCAGACAGACAGACTGGACTTGAGAATGGGACAGCTCCTTATTCCACGCAAATCACACGTTCCCAACCAGATACACAACCACCAATGCGATATCCCATACCATCTACGAGCCCTCAAGGTGCTCGTGCAGGTTCTCGGGGAATAGCTACACCCGGTAGATCTAGTCGTCTCAGTAGCTCATCGAATCAGATAGCAAGTAAGAGCTCTACTAGATTCCGTGAGCCAACTACACGGAATCATATTCGTGGCAAGCAAAATATAAGAGCTGAGTATGGAGAGTTTTTATTAAATCGTTCTTGTGATAAGTTTCCTGATTTTCTGATTCGGATCATTAATTTTCTTGATGTAGATCGGGTTCTACGATTCTAAGGCCGAATAGCTATGCGTATGTCTCTGCTAATGATTCTGCAAGATGTGGAACTGCGGGAAGTGTAGCGAGTCATCGGCTGGATAGCTCTCGTTCTGGGAAGGAAGATGTTTGAGATATGGAAGTTTTGCTTGAACGTTGGGAAGTTGTGGTTTTTTATCTTATGGGAATATTTGGGGTGAGAAGGAGGAAAAGGAGAAGTTTAGATAGAGAATAAGGAGTCAAAGTGATGTGAAGTGTGGTGAGAAGAAGGAAAAAAATGTAGCTTGGATGCTTGTAAATTGGGATTTGTAGACTAATCAATAGAAAAGAAAAGTACGTGCAAAACCTTTGCAGAATAGTATCGAGAAATAAAACTACAAATGAGTAATTCGAAACGAGAGAATCGAATACACTTTTTGTGATTATTGCTGAATTTTAATGGAGTCAAAAGATATGAATCCTCGAAATTTGAAAATGGGATTTAAGTCAAATTACCCTGTCATATTCGCTTGAAATTTACCTCTTAGAGATTCAACTTCCCCTGGTTTGAGGATATGTTCTGTTCAACTATCATACTTTTTTGTGGAACACATACATTTCAATCTACGTTTGAAAGCAATCACGAATGTTGGATAGATTGAGACAAATGGTGCGGAGATTCAAGGCACAGAGGTCGACGCCGTGAGGATGCCGGGAGAGAGACTGTAGGACATATCGGACAGAATGAATATCAATACCAAGGACCAGCTCCATCAAATTCGTAAGCTCAATCAATTTTCTCTCCCGGTAGAAACTGGAGTTTTTTTTTTAGGTCCCGTGCTCGATGGGAAGATTCTACTCCCCCTGTTGATTATGGTTCTCCCAATCCTCCTTACTTTCCTCCTTACTTGCCTCCTCCTCCACTTTACGGTACTCCTCGCGAGGCTTCTTCTCCTCCATTTGAGCATGGTCGCAGATTTACATCTTCAAGGTCTGAGAGTATTGCATTGGTTCCCCGTAATCAGCACAACATGGTGGCAGTGAGGCATACAGACGCAGATTCAAGACGACAAACCGCCGCAGGTAGATTTCCCGGGAGTTATCCTCCTTCCTATAGATCAGCTGATGATACAAGCTTTCACCTCTACCCATCAAGAGAAGCCTTTTGTTCTCCTCATACATCACGCGAAGGGGGTCCCGTTCTTCTTGTGCATCAATAAGGAGGCGAAGTCATCGTTATTCTTATGGATCACCAGAGAGACCTCACACTTCTTCTTCGAGAGCTGATGAAAGTGGCTATTCATTTTAATTTAGCTGGGGGAGTTTCCTGTCTTAAATATGAAATTCTTTTGTGTCACTGGAGTTTTAAGTCATACCCTTGAGCCTTCCTATTCTATTCACTGATGTCGCCAACTTCAGACCCAGATCCAACAACATTACTGCACAGAATGGTTTATATCTATCTGCCACAGATCCACCAATTCATAGATACAGTTGAAGTGATAGGATGTGTTTGGAAAGTTTCAGAAGCTGTGATAAAGGGATATAAAATCAACATATGAGGGAATTGAGAAAATTTAGAGATAGCAGGCCAGAGTACTCAATTATCAACGGCATGAAATTATAAAACTCCTCATGTTAGTCGGAAGATCAAATGGGCAGCTGAAAATAGCGGATATGAATGTCAAATATGACAATCATCGCATGTGAATCCTCAACCTTTAAAATTCGAACCTGAATTTCGAGTCAGATTTGCTCGCCAGGTCTGCCCAGAATTCACCTACTTCAAACTCGAGTTCCCAGGCTTTAATCCTTCTATTTATCAACTACTTTCCATTGGAAACCAAATCTCATTTAAATTTACAATAATCAAAAATGTTTCGCAATTTGAAGAAAACACTCCGAAAGCACGCCTCAGGAAAAAAACAGTCCGAAGATGGTGAGCCGCTCCTTGCAGAGTCTGAACAGCATAGACCTTCACACCAAGGTACACATCAATCTAATGTGAATGCTTCACCACTCCCCTTTCTCTCTTTCGGTAGACATCGAAAGGATAGAGAAACTCTCAGTGCTTCATCAGTACAAGAAACCAGAGTCCCGCAGACGAATCAATATGCCCCCCTGTCTTCTCATCGTCCATCTCGTCACAATCGACGTTCTACTTCTCGTTCTATTCGAAGTGATGAGAATAGCCGTCTATCTACATCTACACGGGCCGAAAGTGTTGTATCAAGCTCTGGTAGTCATTGTACTACATCCAATATGAACCGTGCAAGTGGGAATCCCAGAGTGGTAATTCTACAAGGTAGATCATCTAGAGATGAGCATCGTCCCTCCTCTGCATCAAGGGATGAGCCCCCCATTCTTCCATTGCAAGATCTAGCACTGTCGAAAGGTCGATTATCAAGTAATTAAACTCTTCACACTGTCGAACACCTCCCCTAGCCCCCTTTCCAACTAAACCCCAAATTTGTCGAGATATATATACATGACCGGGTTACCAACTCTCAGTTCTCAGACTCGGGTACCGCTATTCTTCACTTCGAACTATTTAAAGAGAGAATCTCCAGCGTCGACGTTGCCATGAGCAAAATAGATTAATATGTGATGATAGATGCGCCTTTTATATCCTGGGATCATATTAGTTCATTAAACAGATAAACTATTTCAGTACGAGAGATTTGGTAGGAGAAATCATTGTCGGCTATGAAAGGATTAAGGGATCAAATGATGGAGATATTAAATGTGCAATTTGCAGTCTGGACTTTGAGGATGAAAGGATAGGATAATTAGGAATAATGAAAAGTATGGCTTTATACTCACCTTGATTAAAAGAGTAATTGAACAATTGAAGATGATAAATGTGGTTGTTTGTACGCTATGGTTGGTAGATATGACAGTCATCAAATATGAATCATTGACTTCAATTTTCAATTTTCGAGTCAATCCCTTTTAGCAGTTTTTGCTTACCACCTTTCGCCTTTTAGGGACTCGAGTTTCCCTGGCTTTGAGTTTTGCTTTTTGTTCTTTACACTCAAGACACTTTTCTTCGAACACTAAATTCTCAATCAACTCTCGATATCAATACTCAACAAAACTCAACCATGGGATTTCTCAGCATTATCACGGCAATTACTCCGGGAGACTCTCGGCCCCGCGTTGCATCCCCACGACGTGAAGATAACAGTAGAGAAAGGAGCCAACGTGCTCCTCCTTTTAGTCCCCCCCGCTATGAAGCTCCTCCTCCTCCTTCTTACGAATCCATTTCAACTGCATCTACGAGACCTAAGGGTGTTGTATCAAAGTCTGATAGTCATCGTGCCACAGCGAGACCGACTGGAAGTTTAGTTGCGCCTAACAGGCCATCTAGCAGACCGCAATCTTCTCGTTCACCACAAAGAGAGAAGCCTGATTCTTCGTATACACTAAAAGACGACCGCCGATTTTCTCAGGCATCAGCCGAGGAGGCCCATCGTTATCCTCGTACTTCAGAGGAAAGTCGCCGGTCCTCTAGAAGTGAATCTGATCTTTCCCAGAAAATGAACCAGGACAGGCGACGCTCTACCACGGGAATCAGGTATGAAAATTCTGCAAATTGAGGGTTCCATACATATCAATCTCTCTAAGGGCCCTCGGTATTCTATGAGAAGTACTAACCTTCAAGTGCAAATCCGAAGGTACTTCTCGGTCCCAAACTCCCCATGAATCTTCAAATGTGGATAATCATACCTCGGGTACTTTTAATCGCCGCAGAACTGAAGCTTCACATATCCCGAGAAGCTCTGAGCAAGATCGGGCCACTACTGGTTTTGCAACATACGATCAGTGGTGCACTCGCTCCGGATAAATGCTTAGGGTTATGTCTTCTAATTGGCTTGTGAGAGAACATCAGAGGATTGTTAGTTGAAGGGTTGATGGGGGAAATTTCTATCAGGGAAGATCCGTAAAGACCATGGTAATGATGCGAAATGAGATGATATGTAATGGTGAATCTACAACTTACAGGTTCTGAAAGAAAAAGAAGAGATATAGATCAGATTCAAAGGAAAGAATACACAGTAGAATACAACTAGCATGGCTTTTTATAATGAGTTTGGAAAGACCAAATGAGAATCAGAGACCAGTGAATATCTTTGATGTAGAATCCCCACGAGAATCAAAGAGTTATGATATGATATGACTTGAATTTTCCATATGCGTTCTTGCAGTCAAATCTCTCATTCTGAATATCCGTTAATATTTTGGGTCGCCGTTGGAGTCATTTCCTCTCCATATATTTGGATTTGTTGATATCAAGACTCGAAGTCTCCAGACTTTAACTTTGGTCTTTTTCAGACCATTCAAGTTTTATCCACTCACAACTCGATATTCAATGAAAACCGACCATGCAGTTAACAAAACTTATAAACAAAGTCAGATACAAGAGACCAATAAAAGATCCACAGTCGTCCATCAAAAAAGTATCAAATGATACAAATGGAACCCCGTCAAGAGCACAGTGAGTCCCAGTGATTGGAGTAGTGTAAGTTGTATTTTGGTGGCTGATATCGAGGCCTTATATATTAAGCTAGTACTTATAATAGCCAAACTATCCACTGGAATATGTATAGGATATATTGACAATACTAGCAATATATGGGAATACTGTAATTTAATGAATTTCTAAGGGTTTCAGCCAAATTTCCATAGGAATTCAGAAATATTCAATAAACTTCTTCTCAATTATATAATATTGAAGCAATTTCCATTGGAATTTTCTTAGAATTTATCGAATTCCCGTATTTACGTATCCTATCAGTGATGTGCATATGAAGTAATAATATTAATAATTCTAATGATATAATATTCGATAATATATATTGAAATAGGTGATGGAAAATGTAATACGTTTCACTATAATGGGGCATATAGAAAATAAATCATATACCATCTCAATGACTGGGCTCATTACGAGACATGTTCACCATTGTTTCCTCGACTTGATGTACATGTATTTCTCTCTCTTAAGCTTTGAGCTTATTCACAAGGTATTGCCGAGGTTGCATCCAATGAGGAAGTCTTAGCAAGAATGGAAATAAGTCGCAGATAAGAGCTCAAGGAAGAAAATCTGAGGTTGAAGTTATGAGCAAAAGCAAAATAGCGGAGAGCGGAGCTATGTAGTATTTGGACATGCTCACAGAAGTATGACGTCTCTCAGAGCCTATACATTTTCTCAATACGATTGTCCATGGTGTCATCTAGTCTCGCGTTGTAAATAGCTCTGTGTAGAACATTGATTGAAAACTTATCACATTCGAATAGAAAGTTGTCTGCGCCTGTTGCCAACTTCTGAAGAAGAAATAAAGACTCTTCCTCCTGGTTGTTTTGGAATATCTGCAAGTGCTGTTTCCCTAGAAATTTGTTATAGATTTGTCGAAGTTTCCGGAAAGTTTCTCCCTCTGGCTCGAGGCACCACCCTGAAAGGCATTGTCTTGTGACGAAAATTATTGTGCATCGGCCTAGATGATGTGGAGGTTGCTTTCTGTTTTAGAAACCAGTTAACACAAGCAGAATGCAATAAGTCTTTCACTACGGGGGCTTCATTTAAACTTACCCTCTGTAACAAACAATGAGCAGCTTGCAGAGTATTGATCATAATGACAGGACAAGGGCCTAGCCACAGAGTTGCAAGGTCTCCATAGCGCCGAGCTAATTCGTTGCATATCTTTGCAGGTGTAGCATTTATTCTGTACATGCTGAAGAGGGTTCTAAAATAAGGTAGGCGGCGTGGCCCTGGGGGAAGTTGAGGATGTAGCGTATGTCCCTGCCGCATCCAACGAATTATAAAGTAACAAACGATGACGGCGGCAGATGTCAAGAATAAACAGCCTAGAATGAAACCATTTCTTGGAGGGCTTGACATGTTCGGAGTTCCTATCTTAGGTAACGGCAACTAAATATGGACGAAAAAAGTCTTGTACTAACAATTTAGATTTTCTGGTAGTCAAATTGTTTTCTGGTAGTTGAAATGGAGGTATCCCAGGCTCAGGGGAAGTCGAGTCCTTAAGAGGTAGATTTGAACGGTCATGATGAAGGAGGATTGACTCAAAAAGAAGATTTGGTATGCTAATAAGTAACCAAGAAAGAAACGGAGTTGATGATTTGATTAGCAATATCATTCGAGCTCGTACAGAGTCCTTGCAGCCACATCAATATGCACCTCGCTATCTTCCGCCTCTATTTTCGGATCTCAATGCAGACGCCTGTGCGATTGCAGCTATAATTGATGAAAAAGATGGACCAGGTAAATTTGGTGAATGTGCGGAACCTCAGTTGTTATATGCGGATGTACGATACTGATATTGGATGTTGAAGTTTGATATCGAATCTTTTTGGGTGCTCGCAATGTATAATCAGAGAGTGGGATGGCATGTATCTCAGAATGAGATAGATCACTATTCTCGTACAAGAATTGGAGGGGGAGACCGGCTTTCCTCATGTACGGTTCGTCTAGATGTGAAAGCTCTTTACCTAATTCTTTGTAGGCCATCTTGATTCTCTACATCGCGATCTCTTCATTTTTCTAAGTTACCGACATACACATAAGCACTTCATTCACATCGCTAAATTCGCATGTTCAGATGACTCAATCCCTATTACACTAAACTCAGCATTTATTTGCGACCCTGCACCCGTGAAAGTTTGGAAATTAGATATAGTCGACATAGTTTCGAGCTGCCTAGTATCAATGATTGCTATTAGATAAATAGCACGTAATGACACAGACTGTCATAAATTCTAAACACTTATTGACATTCTTTGATTTCGAGAATAATGAACACTTGAACCTATTGATTGCAAAAATATCAGAAGGGTTATCTGCGTGAGCAAAATGAGATGCTGCGGGGTCCTTGAGTAGTGAAAGTTGAACGAGATATAGACATCAGATTGCTATGTGAGCAACTGAGGCACCTCAATCTTGGGAATATCGAGGAATACAATAAGCCGAAGAGAACATGTGTAAAGGATGCTTTGAGATAAATGGAAAATGGTATAAAGTACAAATCATTTTCTGCTGAGTTCCGGATGCATCTTTCTTTCACATCCTTCGACGTCAAAAATCAAAGCATCCGAGTCCCGATACGCGAGTCAAATTTACCTTATGAGGTAGAAGAGTCGGATATCTGGAGTTTTCTATGTAAGTCAAGACTCATCAATGTACTGGCATTTCCCTAGAGTCATTCCTGTCCCTGCTTGGATTATTTTCTTCGAAAACTTGACTACCAACTGTAATCTTTGAATATTATCGACCCCCAGCCCTTCATCAACCTCAAATTTTTTCCAAGTCGGAATCATTATCAATTTTCCACTATGGAAGTGTATGCATAAACTTGCGGCCGTAGTTTTTTTCTTTCGCCTAGAGTCATCAAGAATGAGTCCTCGATATTTCTTGCGATCCAAATTAATCATTATGAGTTATGAATGGGAATTTTAGGTATGATTCGGGTTAATTCAACAACTTATTCATACATTGAAGACTTATTCTACTATTCCCTGGATCGTGTGTTTGTATTTCGACATTTGAGTTTTTAATTTTGACTTGTCTTAACATCCAAACTTCTCCCTAAATTAAATATTCAAACCAACATCAACATCAAAATCAAAATGTCAAGACAAAGCAGCGTAAACCATAACAATAGATTCGTCTCTATAAACCAATCTATGGGCCAACTATCAACCGCCTCACATCCTCGCGATTCAAATAACGGATCGGTCGCTGGAACTTCAGATTCACAATGATCATCAAACGATTGTGGAAGAGAAAGAGAATCGAGAAATATTTTCGGAAAGTACCTGTCTTCCAGAGGACGGCAGGAAAGAAGAGAAAACAAGAAATTTGTAAATCCTCGCGAAGAAGAAGAAGACAGATGTTCGGCTGAAAAACGCAGAAAAGAATTCGAGAATAGACATAGAGACGAGGAAACGAGACGCAAAGAAAGATTGCCAAGGATATTAGAAGAGAAAGATATAGTACGAGAGGAAGAAAGAGCACAAGAGATAGAAAGAAAATGGTGGTTGGTATCAACCTGATCTGGAACGGAAAGAAAAGAGAAGACAATAGAGAGAAACATCCTGAAGAATAGCAGAATTACCACTGAGACAAAGATTGCGAATGGCAGAAAGAGCAGAGGAGGAAAAAATCCAAAGGGATAAGTCCCGAAAGGAAGAAATAGCACGAGAGCTAGACAAATTGAGACGAGAAGACTACATACAGGAGGGAAGAAGATTGTACGAGAATTATAGATGTAGAGAAGGAGAAAGACTGGGAGAGGAAAGTCAACTTTTGCGTTTGGATAGTGCATGGGAACATGGATTTGATGTTCGAAGAGAAGATGTCCGGAGATGGGCATTAGGATTGACATATCGACCAGATGATCATCCTGTCGTGCTTTTTTTTAAAGTCGGGTGGGAAGTCGTCCTTCAATACCGTTACCGCGACAAAGGCCTTCTGGGCCTCAACTTCATCGACTTGCTCCACCCTCTCAACACTCTCAACCACCTCAGCCTCCCCGACCTCCTCCTCCTCCTCCTCCTCGTCGCAGTCACCGTCCTGCTCCGTCTCCGCCCTCCAACACCATTCCTCCACCTAGAACTCAATCTGAACACATTCCATTGCCACCATCACCACCATCACCACCATCACCTCGCAGGTCTCGCCATCACCACAATCCCGACCTACCTGAACCTCGCTCTTCAAGCCGCGGTCGAAGTCATTGCTCAACCTCAAAGCACACCTTGACAGCAACAAATATAGCCAAACACAATGAAATCAATAAGTCATCCATGAACAACAAACCAGCCGCCCCAAAAACCTCCCGATCTAAACACAAAGACAAAAAGTTTATTTCGAGAACGTCTAGAATCAAAACATCTGGAAAAGCTCGAGTGAAGGATTGTATTCAAGTAGGGGCCGCTGTTGGGAGAGCTGGAGCCGAGGTTGGAAGAGGGCTATGGAACGTAGCAGTAATCGTCGCTACTGCAATTTGAGACTAAGTGTATATACCGGTATCTCCTTTACTTCCTCATGTCAATACTATTTCTCCTTCTTGTTTTTTCGAGCCCAACAAATGCATAACCCACAAGGATCGCTTGATCCGAAGCTCAGACTCATCAGAACTATTACTTCGTCAAGTTGGATATACATATAATCGCCACAACCATGAAGATATATGTGTACTGGGTATGTATCTGCCTATGCCTAACAATATTGGGGTGTTAATAATGGATAAAGATTAAGCTGGGTTCATATTTTTATGTTACAAATGGATAATCTTAATGAAGCATCTTGAAATACTATTTCCATGAATTTACCATTGTGTGTCTACGCTATTTTTAGCTTTACACACTTCTATGTCTTCATTTCGAAGGGTGATAATCATACTACACTGATAGTTGAATATCGCCGATCTTCTACAGGAAAATTGCGTGTATCTTTTCTCAAACTCTCACATTTCTACTTCCTTCCCTCGACCACTCCACTTGGCTCCCCCATAACTTCCTCATAACCATCTGACCCCCTCCACACCACCAGTCCCATCACCCAATATCATCTTCCCCTTCCCTCTACGCCCCATCAAAAGTGGAGAACCACACCAAGCATACCTACATATCTCCCACCCCCTCCCCACAATAACCCAACGCCACCCCCCAGACATGCAACAAAATCCACCTCAAGCAGCACTAAGCATAGCAAGTATGCTATCTCAATCCACAAGACCAATCCAGCTAGCGCCTTCGCTTGGAGATCTACAGTGAAATTCGCAATGTAGCCTGCATGAGAAGATCAGTTGCATAAATAGCAACTGTGTTATACTATTCACCATCTCAGGTTCACCCGAAGCAAGTCAGCGCGAGTATACTGAGATATGCAGCAAATCACTCCTCGAGTAATTTGAAGCAAATAGAGTAGGAAAGACAAGGTAAAGAGATGGCATCTAGGTTTGCGCGAGGCAAACATCATCAATGAGGTTATCGACCACCATCATAACTCTACACTGAGCCCATTGTTTTAACTCCAATCTCCCTTTAATATCATCACAACGCGACAAGAAGTGAATGGGGTGAACACCAACCTCGCACCTCGTCGCGCGTCGTCTCTTCCCCTCAAGAGTCAAAACTCCAACCCCTATAAAAACCAGAAGATCGCCACCGGAACGCCCGAAACACCACGACCTGCAACAAAAACATTCCCAACCTCTCTCCCATCCCAATCAACACGCAAACCGCTCTTCATTTTCTATGTACCATCCCATGATTTGTGCAGCAACAATAACAACCACAAAATAGCCTGAACACCCCTAGCACCGCGCTTACTAACCCCGCGCGCACCCACCAATCACTATTCTCTCACCAACCATCGGCGTGTCCGAAAGTGGAAATGAGACAGTTGGTCGGACGTCTTGTGCTGTACGAGGCAGATCTTAATGTTTTTCTAGAGTCACAGTCAGAGTCAGATATGGATCTATCGATTCAATAGATGTATTATTGATTTAATCAATCGATGAATAAATCAATAAACAAATATCCCATCCTCGAGACATCTCGACTCGTAAACTCCATATGAACTACCAACCAATGAGAGATTCGGAGCTCGTCGTGGCGTGTCTGGTCGGGCATACCGAGACTTGTAGATGTGCAACAAAGACTCTCCCTGTGTAGGTATTTCTCTGAAGAAACCATGAGGTTGGAATACATATCTCAGATTTTACATAATACAATACACACGATACCATACGATAACATCATATTCAACTCCACACGTACTCGAGACTTCCCTTGGTTTTCCCAAAGGTAAAACTAGGTAATATACTGGTACATCTAGCCACACATCCAGCGCCGACCTTCCAACTTCCAGATCCGAACGGAGATACCGAGCATTGTAGATATGCAACAAGAGATCTATTTCTCTATTTCTTTGTTCCAAACCCATTGACTTAACACACCACACATCCCAACTCCCCATAAATCCAACCACCAAGTTTCAAACCTCCCCTTTCGACCTCTTAAACGAATATAGTCTCAGGCTGCGCTCGCAAACATATACGGACAGACCGAGAGATGTAGACATGCAACAAGATCTGTATTTTCTGTTTTTTGAGGACTGGATTGTGGTGGTTCGAGATTATTAACATGCACTCGTATGATGTACTATGATTAAATTATACCTAACTATTCAATTCCTTCTCAGCCTCTTAATTCTACTCCGTAGATTCTAGTCTAGTATCTATACCCAATCCCAAACAACCCAAACCTAAACGGCCATACCGAGAGATGTAGATATGCAACAAAATCTCACATCCTCATCCATCCCGCATCCAAACATCTTGAGACTCTACTAGCTCTCTTTCAGTTTGTTGATTCTGATCTGGATTTAGTCCCAAACATTTTATATACCAACAGAAATACGAGATTCTGTAGACATGCAACAAATCTTCAAATCTTGTAATTCTGACCCATCTATTCTCCATCGTAACATCTTGAGACTCGACTATCTAGCAGCTATACAATCTATTCAATTACGAGCTTCTCAACTGTTCCTCTTTCGACCTATTGATTCTAGTTTGAATATAGTCTCAAACATTGTGCGTATACAAGAAGATACGAGATCTGTAGATACGCAACAAATCTTCAAATCTTGTAATTCTGACCTATCTATTCTCTATCGGAATATCTTGAGACTCGACTAGCTAGCAGCTATACACAACCTAATTCAGTTACGAGCTTCTCAGCCTTTCCTCGATCGGCCTGTGAGTTCTATTGTAGCTTGAATCTAGTCTCAAACATTCTGCGTATTGATGATATACGAGATCTGTAGATACGCAACAAAACCTCTCCTCTCAACCACTCGAGCCTAGATTCTAGCTTTGATTTATTAGTCTCAAACACTCTGCGTATACACAGAGATACGAGAGATATAGATATGCAACAAACCTTTCATTCTTTTTTCATTTCCTAAGCACTACTCGTACTTATACGACCGGTAGGTTATATACCACACTCCACTCACAGACATACTGTGAACTGAAAAACTCGTATGTCAAAAATATACTCCATCTTCAAAACTCTTGATTAAATCAAATGACAAATATTTTCATCTAACAGATCTATAGAAGCATTGTGAGATCTTTGAATCATAACAGATCGCTGATTTGTAAGACTATTAATATATTTATGATTTGTTATTCAATTTCAAAATAATAGTATTTTCGTAAGATTTTCGATCCTGGCTAGTTTGGTGCATGTATCAGTTTTTCCATCCACGCTCTAATTACGCTGTACGATAGAGAGCACGCTAATAAGATCATAAGGTTAGGTGCATTAGGTAGCCAAAACGATTGGACATAAGTCACATAACTTAACTAATCCACTTCGGCTTGTAATAAAATACGCACAACACTTCATTCAAACTGACCTCTTTCTTCTGCGTGTTTTCCACAATGTAACAGCACATCCTACACAACGCCAAAATACGAAATGATTAGTGGGCATGATGTTATTGAAGTGGAGTAATATATGTAACCGATATCCCTACATCGTGCACGCCCCTATATCGTGCACACTTTTATTTCTTTTAAAAAAGATATTCTAAATTCAATATATAATTAATCAATCATTGAGTTCTATTAATAATTATAAATAATATATTATATTACTATTTATTTCTTATAAAGTAATTAAAATATAAAAATAATTATTATATATAATATAATTTCAATATTAAAATTATTAATAAAAAATATTATATATTAATTTATTTATTAATAGGAATAACGAAAATTGATTTTTTTTTATTAAATTTGAATATATTTAAATATAAAGAATTGAAAAAATTAAGTTTTTATATTGTAAATTTGATATTATATCAATATATTATTCTAAGTTTTTATAAATAATCTTTTTTAAAATAAAAATTAATTATAAATCAAGTATTTTATAATAATTTTTAATTTTTTTAATTATATAATATTATTAATAAATTAATTTTAATTAGAAAACTAAAAAAAAACTATATTTTATTAAATATACAGTAGTAAATTCATAATCGATTCGGTCTATATAGCTATGCTAAGATCATGCGATGCGCCTGTATATAATTCTAATTGAATAAGGTAGATGGGAAAAGAAAATAAAAACCCACCCCCCCCCGAACTTCCCTATTAAGACCCACGGGCAAGCTCCCGAGCAATCCTTTCAAGTCTTAAATATATATATATAATCAATTATTAAAAGAATTATAAAAATTAAATATTAGGATTATATAATTAATAATAAGATATTTCTAAAAAAGATTTTTCTTTTAAATTTATTAAAAATAGAACTAATTTGAATATTAATAAAAAACAGAATATATTATAATATTGAATTATAATTATATTTAATCTGTAAAATTATTAGGAATATTATAAAATTTAAGGACTTTTTTAAAAAAAAAATTCTTTTAAATATGGATTTATAATTTTTTTTTAAAAAACTAATAAACTTATTCATCAAGAAATTAGAATATATTATTTCATTTATTATTTTTTCATTTTATATATTAATTTATAATATAATAAGTTATAATTTTTAATTATTTATTATTATTATATTATAGATTTTCTAATATATAAAAGTTTAATTTTCTAATTAAAATCCAAATAATAATTTCAGATTCTTAAAATCTATAAAGAAATATTTTAATTTTTTTTAAAAAGAATTTTAAATTCTTTTTATTTTTTTAAATATTATATATATTTTTGAAATTGTATTTAAAACTTAATTTTTCATATTTTTCAAAATTTCAAACTTTTTTTCAATAATAATAATATAAATCAATTCGAAAAACTTATTTTTAATAATATAGATTCATTCCAATATAAATTTTATTAAATTATTAATATCTTAAAATATTATTTTTTAAATCAATTAATATTCTATTTAATATTTCAAATTCATTAAAACCTAATTATTATATTTTATTAATCTTTAATTTGTTTTTTATAAATTTT